TTTTCAAAGGGGCGGGGGAAGCCCCGCGCAGCTGCTGGCAACAGGCCAGCTGGGGCTGCAAGCAGCAGCGGCAGACTTGGGAAAGCGGCGGTGCACAGCAGCTGGGCTGTTGCTGGGATGGTCCCGCAGCACCACCCCTCGCCTTGCCCCCTCTCCTCTGCCGCTGCTTGCAGCCCCAGTTGGTGCCGAACTATCAGGAGTGCCAGACCACTGGATGCCAGACAATTGGAGTTTTATTGAGTTGGATTCTTTTTATATCTCCTTTAAGTTTCATAGGGCGAAGAGGTGACACACAAACTCCCATACTGGGACTGGTGGCACCAGCTGGTCATGGAGCGGTGGGACGACCAGCAGTGGCTCCAAAACTTCCTCAAACAGAAGACCACCTTTTTGGAGCTGTGTGCCTGGTTCACTCCCACCCTCTCTCCAGAGAGACACCCACCTGCAGCCCGCCATTCCCGTGGAGAAGCGGGTCACAATCACCCTTTGGAAGATCGCCACCCCAGACAGCTACTGATCGGTGGGCAACCAGTTTAGCGTGGAGAAATCCACCATCAGGGCCCTTCTCATGGAGGTAAGGCACTCTCAGTCTGCAGTCCCTATGTGGGAGGGATGGGAATCCTGTTAAAGGGGGACCCTTGGGAAAGGGGGGCTGGCGGCTGTGAGGGTAGAGTGGGAATGGGGGGGAAGCCCCATCCCTGGGGGTTGTGCCATCCTGCCCTCACACAGCCCTGCTGAGGAGCAGCCTCAGAAGGTGTGGTTCCTGGGATGTGTGTGTGGGGAGGGGAGATGGGGGTGGACATCTCCCAAGGGCTCAGGCACCCCCTCTCTCATTCTGTTTTGTACGTTTCTTTGTCTCCTTCTGCAGGTAGTGAGGGCCATCAACTCCATCCTGCTGTGGAGAGTCATCCGTTTGGGAGATCTGGATGTGACCATGGCCAGATCTGCTGCCCTGGGGTTCCCGAACTGCGGTGGAGTCATTGATGGGACCCACATTCCAATTTGTGCACCAGAGCATCGAATGGCCCAGTACATCAATCGCAAAGGCTACTTCTCAAAGATGCTGCAGGTCCTGGCCGACCACCGTGGACAGTTCATGGACATTTTTGTCAGGTGGTCGGGCAGGGCACACGATGCCCATGTCTTCAGGAACTCTAGCCTGTGCAGGAAGCTGGAGGCGGGCACATTCTTCCTCCGTCGTGACTTTGCAGTTGGGAACATGCAGATGCCATTGTGCATTGATGGGGACTCGGCTTACTCCCTGATACTGTGGCTAATGAAGCCATACACAGGCCACTTGGACCCCAGCCGAGACCAATTTAATGCCCACCTCAGCTGCACCCGGATGGCATGCTTTGCAGAATAGTTCTGGTTTTCAGGGGCACAGCAGGAGGGAGAGAAACAAAAGGGAGACCAAGCCAGGGAGAGGCTGGTCTGAAAACAGCAGGGTGCTGACTCCAGCTCGGAGAGCTTCTCCCTTCTTGTCCCCTCACCCCACCCCAGCTGTCTGGACAGTGGTGGCCCCTGCTCAGTCCCAGCTGCCCTGCCAGGAGGTCCCCGAGCCAGTTCCCAGGGCTCAGCGCAGCCCTGCTCTACCCTGTGGCCCAGCTAGCCACCCATGACGCAGTGCTGGGGCAGCTGCTCTCCACGCAGCGCTTATCCCGGATCACGCACCACAGCCGCCCTCCACGTGGCCCCACCAGCTGGGCTGCATGGCTGCCATGGAGCTGGAACTGCGGCCACAATGAGGCTACCTCAGTAGGGACAATCTCATTGTGGCCTGGCTCCAGCTGTGGCACATAGGGTTCCCAGGTGTCCGGGTTTGAACCAGACAGGCCAGTATTTGAGCTTTCTGTTTGGGAAACAAATTGAGAAAATAGAAATGTCCGGTATTTTCTAAATAAGATGGAATGTAGATTGTGATGTAATGTCAAGTGTGTCCAGTATTTTTGCTGAAACCATCTGGTAACCCTAGGCACGGAGTTGGGAGCATGGCCTGGCGAAGTGTGTCCAGTATTTTTGCTGAAACCATCTGGTAACCCTAGGCACATAGTTGGGAGCATGGCCTGGCAGAGTGCCATGGCCAGCCACCGGTCTGCAGACCGGTGCTTGGGAATCTCTGTACTTGTTGCTTACCACATCCTTACCTTGGAGGATGCTGCATTTCACTGATGCTTTGTGTATGTGTGTATATATATATACACACTATAGACTGAGCCTTCCAAAAGAATGTTGTCTTCATTCTTATAAGATGTCCTTTCTGTTCTCGGTTTGGTGGAATTATTGTCACTTCAACTTCTGTTAACTCTGACACAGACTTATAGCTCTATAAATAAATTAATCCTGGATTCTAGAAAACATTTAAGCCATGTCTGTAATAGAAAAACAAGAGGTTAGGACTGTCCATGAGCACATAATACATGTAAGCAACCCTTCCCTTGTCTACGTAGACTGGGTGAAAAGTCCTGTTTTATACTGTATTTTTAAAATTGCATTTGCTAACATGATTTCAAACTCAACTTATTTACCTAGTCCTGGGCAGGTCTTCAATACTGTAAGAATTTTATGACTGAACTGTCTATATTTTCCCAAATCCTGCCAAACAAAAGTGTATTTAACCAAGAACAAGTCCTGTTTGTTGTGTGAATGTTTATTCATGCCCACATTGCATTTGCAATAAAATTGCAATAAAATTGCATTTGCTAACATGATTTCAAACACAACTTATTTACCTAGTCCTGGGCAGGTCTTCAATACTGTAAGAATTTTATGACTGAACTGTCTATATTTTCCCAAATCCTGCCAAACAAAAGTGTATTTAACCAAGAACAAGTCCTGTTTGTTGTGTGAATGTTTATTCATGCCCACATTGCAAACATAATACATACACACTTAATTTTATTGTACTTATTCACAAAAATATACATCCAACTCCTTGCTCTGCTTTTTTGATGCTATGACAAGTAAAAAATTATGTGTTGATATAGAGATGACATAGGAAGGCACATCATTATAAATTAAGATAATTTATGTAGAGTTGGTACAAAAAGTGTTGGTTTCAATAAATTGATTTTCCTATTAAAGTGACAGTAGAAGAATCTGACCACAAACAGACATTTATTTTTCTGGATTAGTTATTCAAATCCAGTAATGCTATCCAAGAATGCAGCAAACTTTTCTGGCTGTCCAGGAGGAAAAGGTTTCAATGTTGACAAATCAATTGACTTCAGTGACTCCAAAAGGGTGCTATAAAAACATAACAAAAACAAAGGCGATATGAACAATTAAATACTTTACACGGGCAATGTTTCCTCTAATCTTTTCCACCCATGTGCAGATTTTTTCTATCCATGTATGGAATAAGTTTTTTCTATGTGCACTGAGGCATGTGCAAACGTGCTCCACCAGTAGAAACAAAAACCTATCAGTTGACACTTTGCTAATCAGCTGGGTGGTATTTCAATTTCTCCTGAGAGTCTGCACAAGCACACAGCTTACAGGGAGTGCTGCAAAGGGGGTATTCTGTCTTTCACTGTTTCTAATTCTGCCTTAAATACATTACTCCCTTTGGCATTAAATCAGCAACAAGAGCACACCCTGGAAGGAAAAAAAAGACACCATAGTATCACGAAATTTAAACTATTTCAGCACATGACCGATGGGTTTTCCTTTCAAAGTGGAGCCAGACTCAGAGGCTACGTCTAGACTACATCCCTTTTTCGGAAAAGGGATGTAAATTAGACGTATCGCAATTGCTAATGAAGCGGGGATTTAAATCTCCCGCGCTTCATTAGCATAAAAATGGCTGCCGCTTTTTTTCAGCACGGAGCTTTGCTGGAGAAAAGCACCAGTCTAGACACTGATCTTTTGGAAAATAAAGCCTTTTCCAAAAGATCCCTTATCCCTCTTGAAATAAGGGATAAGGGATCTTTCGGAAAAGGCTTTATTTTCCGAAAGATCAGCGTCTAGACTGGCGCTTTTCTCTGGCAAAGCTCCGTGCCGAAAAAAAGTGGCAGCCAATTTTATGCTAATGAAGCGCGGGAGATTTAAATCCCCGCTTCATTAGCAATTGCGATACGTCTAATTTACATCCCTTTTCCGAAAAAGGGATGTAGTCTAGACGTAGCCAGAGGGCTTGTCCCACATCAAAAGCAACCCCACACTCCCTATTTTGTCTGCTCTGCAGATCCCTTCTCAAAATTCTTCTTCCACTAAATATTTTCACTCGGTTATTTATTTGTCTCATGATAATAATTTTAAATTTACCAAAACATAAAAAATTACCATGATAACCCAAAATTCCCAAACATGAATCATAAAACAAATATACCATGTATCCTAAAGCCTTCTCATTCTCCCTTCTTAATTTTTCCTGAATAATTTTCACTAAGGAAGGACAAGAATATTCACTGTTATTTGTGCTTATATTAAGTTTAAAATCTTTGAGGGGGAGCTCATATTATTTTAGTTATACAGAGAACCATGAACTATATAAGCAGGGCTCGACAATTAGGGCAATCTACTCGCCCATGGTGAGTAGATTTTAGCCCGGCATGGCACCACAGCACCATCAGTGCATGCACAGCGTGGTCTGCGTATGCGCAGCATGCTAAACCACGCGGCTGGCGAGAGGGGCTTGCTGCCACTTGTCAAGCCCTGTATATAATTAATAAGATAATTAAATTTAAGATACTTTTAAATGCATTTTACAATACTCAATATATATCCTGTTTTTATCCCCCTAAGGATCCCCAACAGACAGCTACACAGAGTCTTGACTAGGTGTTAGAATTAAGCTGACAGCAGGAACAATGAGGCTGCGTCTAGACTGGCAAGTTTTTCAGCAAAAGCGGCCGCTTTTGTGGAAAAACTTGCCAGCTGTCGACACTAGCCGCTTTGAATTTGCACAAGAACACTGACGATCTAATGTAGGATTGTCAGTGTTCTTCCAGAAATACAATGACTCTCCCATTCGGGAAAAAGCCCTCTTGCGCAAAAGCATTTGCGCAAGAGGGCCAGTGTAGACAGCTGAGAACCGTTTTGCGCAAAAAAGTCCTGATGGCGAAAATGGCAATCGGGGCTTTCTTGCGCAAAACCGCGTCTGGATTGGCACGGATGCTTTTCCACAAAAAGTGCTTTTACACAAAAGCATCCGTGCCAATCTAGACGCTCTTTTCCACAAATGCTTTTAATGGAAAAACTTTTCCGTTAAAAGCATTTGCGGAAAATCATGCCAGTCTAGACGTAGCCTCAGTGTGCAAGACAAGAGAACTTATCAGATCTAAATGGTTACTCACTATCCTAATCAGAGGGAGAGTTGTTGATCAACCTAAACTGTTTTAAGGTTGTACTCAACATGCAGCTCTAAATACTTTCAATCAGAAGCTTCTGAAGAGACACTGCCTTTTACTACCTTACAAAGTATGTTACTTAGGTCTATAGACCAGTGCTGCTTTCTACCAACTTCAGAGGACTTATCTGATTTTTCCTAACAGTTTGAATAACAATTCAAATTCCTACACTTTACTTTGTTTACAGTATTCATCATTTAATGCAGCGATGGGCAATCTAGGTTAGTGAGTGGGGCACATGAGTGGCCCTCCTTCATCTCAGTGGGCTGCAGGACTGTTGTAACCAAGATAGTCTCCTAGGAAAGAGTAGCAGAGTGAACTGTAGCAACACTGATTGGATGCAGAGGAGGTGCAAGATTCACAATCAGCAAGCACCTTGCTTTATGTGCTTGTCACTTTAGTAATACTGATAGGGAAAAAAACCCGCATAGATGGAAACCACCAGAATCTGGCAACCCTGCTAACTAGGGATGTGAAGACAAGATAGTCAACTAGTCGCTTCTCTACCCTTGCTGCCTCTATCAGGTAGAGGCAGCAAGGGGGAAGGGGAGAGGGAGGGAAAGGAGGGTACTTTAAAGCAGTAGCGTTGCATGTAGCCCAGGATCAGCTGCTCCATGCAGCGCTGACACTTTGAATGTCATGGAGAGCCTGGCATAAGGCTCCAGCTGATCCCGGGCTCCTGGCTTTTCAAAGCGCAGCACCGTGTGGAGCCCAGGATCAGCTGTGGAGTCTCACCACTTTGAAATGCTGCATGAAGCCCAGGATCATCTGGACTCCATAGCTGGCCCCGATCTCCACATGGCGTTGCCACTTTGAAATGCTGCAGAGAGCCCAGTGTCAAGCTCCTCACGGCATTTCAAAGCAGCAGCACTGCGCCGAGCTCGGGTTCAGTCCCCAGCTGACCCCGGGCTTCGGCAATTTCGCCTTTGAAGCATAGCAAAAATGCATTGGCTATTCAATCAGTCAGTTACCCCATACTTAACATCCTTACTGCTAACGCTCGGCAAAATGTCTCATGGGCCACACATCACACGTATATGCCTGCAGGTTGCCCACCGCTGATTTATTGGGAATCAAGTAGTGCCCTTGAAAATTATAACCCTGGAACCTGATTTTCAAGTGTTTGGTGAATGCTGCACCAAGCATAACTCTAGTAATCTACCCTGGCAAAAATATGTGGCAGTGGTAGACCTGCCCTGGAGGGAGCTATGTCCAATCTAGTCACTATTTTAGGGATGTGAATGGGTAACCAGTTACCCCTTAAGCATTAACCTTAACAGTTAATTGGTACCTGTGAGCAGTCAACTGGAGGGCTGCTCCAGCCCTGCCAGCCCCCAGCCAATGTAAGGCACGCAGAGTTCCCCACCACCCATCACGCCAGGCTGGAGTGACCCTCCTGCTGCTGCTCTGGCCACGTTGGAGCAGCCCCTGCCTGCGGTGGGGGAAAGGAGGTTCCAGCCGTCCCCCCCATTAATCAGTTAACCAGTTAAACACTATTAAACATGATTTACATCCCTAGTCTGTTGGAGGAAAAGTTACTGATTTTTGCCTTTGATGTAGTTGCAGAAAAGAGGGTTTTTTTTCCAGTAAATCTATGTGTTGTAATATAGTAACATACAACAGTGACCACCTTATACCTAGCACCGTGGGGACCTACCTCATGACTGGGTCTCCTAAACACTATCTGAATATTACCACTAATAATACTTGTTCAGACAAGATGGCTACTCCTAAAAAAACTAAGTGCGAACAATGACTGTACACTTAGAGGCACAAATGATGTGAAAAGATCTGACGTACCTACACGTGCAATAGAAGAGGTGTTCATCTTTGTAGAGTTGCCTGGCTAATTCTAGCTGATGATTGTTCATCAGCTTTTCATTTATAACCACCAAGAGTGGTTTTCCTTTTTCCAGTGTCTCCAAACATGTGCCTGCACCTACAGAAGAAATCAGTAACATGAACACTGTTTGCACAAATGCATCCATGTTTCACCTTACACTCACAGGAAAAAACAATTCACCCTGAAATATTTACTCAGGTCATACTCCCATTGTCCTGTTTGAGCCCACTGACATTTGGTTTGAATGGATGCTTTGCTTAAAATTTTACAAAATATCACAGATCCCTAGGATTGGTACAGAAACCCCACTTCTCCTGTCTCCAGGACTGTCTCTCCTCCCTGCGCCGCCTTGGATTCTCTGCATGATGCTGCCTTGATGCAGAGGACATTGCCCAAGCCCAGGAGTGGGAGGGTCAATAGGGGCTGCAGCTAGGGGTGCCAGATGGCTGAAACAAAAATACCGAACACCCCCCCGCCCAAAAAAAAAACCACTGGGCATTTTGTGCCGGCAGCCTTGGGGAACCAGGTAAGCAGAGGGGCTGGGGGTGTTGGAGGCCAGAAGGGAACTCGGGGGGAGGCCGGGCACTGAGTGTAGGGTTGCCAGATGCCTGGCATTTTCGCCTCCTGGCCAGGAAAAAATTCAGAAAATACTGGACATCTTAGGTGTCCTGTATTCACTGAATTTTTTACCAGACAGGAGGTGAAAATACTGGACTGTCTGGGTGAATACTGGACACCTAGCAACCCTATCTATGTAACATGCAAGACTGAGCAACATTTATCTAAAGAACAAAGGGATCAAAAGTTACTTTGAATATTATCAGACTGTTTTGAAATTTAAAAATTTCTTTTCATGAAAATTTGTCCCAAGCAACTTTTGTCTTTAAAGAAAACAGTTCATTGTATAAATGTTTGGTTGTGGTATTAAATCATGAACACATTTTGACTCTCTTTCACAAAGTTTACAATTACAAGCCTCGTTCGTCAACATAGTTTGAATTTCAGTTCTAATGATGTGTAGAGACATCATACAGACTCCCAAGCAATTATAAAAGAAAAATTCTGATAATCCAGAAGTTATTTAGAAACCCTGGGAGCAATAAGATAAAAGATGTTTTAACAAGAAAGTAAAATCACTCAATTTTTTTAACTGCTTTCTGTACCCAGTGACCTTTTCACAAAACTATAGACCGGGTTTTTAATCACACTATAAATCCTCTTTCCAGTGGCAAGTCAAGGTCCTAAAGTTTTCTTGAGGGAACGATCGGCCAGCGTGGAGTGAGACTGACCTGGGCAACTACTGCCTGTCCCGCACAGGCTCCCGGCAACGCACGAGCGAGGAGGCTTCCCCTCCTCCTCACACTCAACCGACTGAGGGCTCCCGGTGGCAATCGTGGCCCCGCCTCCCAGCTGGGACTCCCAGCTGCTCCCCCCGCCCACGCCAGGCTTCCGTCGGGTGCGCAGCAGGCAAAATAAAAAAATACCGGACATTGCACATGGCCGGTATTTTCTGATTTTTTTACCAGGCAGAGCACGCAAATACCAGACACCTGGCAACCCTAGCTGCAGCATGGTGGATTGCTCACTAGGACCCAGCAGCAGCAGGCAGGGGCTCTGGGAGTCAGGACAGGGCTGGGCCCCTGCAGCAGGTAGGAGCTTGCAGCCACTGCTCAGGGTGAATCTGAGGCCAGGCTCCAGACCAGATCCGTGATTCCCAGCGGGGGGTTGCAGCTGGGCCCCCAGGGCCCAGTCTGCAGCCAGGAGGGGGAATCTCCAACAGGGCCAGTCCCGCTGCTCCCCAGGAGCCTCTCCCAGGGCAGCGTCCCCCGGCCTGTCCAGCCCGTCTGGCCCACCCCCTGCCCCAAAACGGGCAGGTAAATGAGACACACCTCCCTTCCCCAGGCTGCAGGGGAAGAGTTTGGCCCAGGGCTGCTCACAATGGAGCTAGCTAACATCTGCCTCCAGCTCCCAGTGTGTGCAGGGTGGGGAGAGGGGCTGAAGAGAGGCAGGGGGACAGATAAGGGGGGAACAGGGCCATGTGAGGCAGAGGCAGGATAGGGATACAGGAGGCGCTGAAGGGAGGTTGGGGGAATTCAGAGGAGACTTACTAGGGCAGATGAGAACAGGGGTGCCATGGAGGGAAACTCTGAGGGGAGTCACAGGGAATGTGGGATGTGGGAAAGGGAGGCTGGGGGGAGACTGTGGGACCAAGAGCAACCTGAGGGGCAGGGGATGTACAGAAGGAGATAGGGGAAGATACATGGGCAGCTCCGCCACCCCATAAAGCAGGAGAGGGAGAGGGCAGATGTGACTGGTGGTAGCACTTGGGGGCACCAGTTCCTATGCCTCTGACAAAATTTCAGTTATTAAATAGGGTGCCCTACATGCCCCCGCTCCTGTAGGTGCCCCTCCTTGCACTCCTCCTTCTGCAGGTACCAGTTGCCCTCTGTCAATCTTTTTCCTGGGCCCCACTGAAACTCAAGACAGCAATGTGACCTTTATCTGGCCTGAAAGCAAACTGTCCCTTCCCGCCCATTGGATGGAATAACAGGGGAAACCGAGGCACACAGTGGTGCAATAAAACCACTACAGAAAATACCCGGGATGTGTCAGGGTCAAAGATGAAAAACGTGGCAAGGGGCCCTCAGGCTAGGCCAGTTTGACAGACAGACCCGTCCCCCCTCGCACACCCGCTTCAGATCACCAGGGCTGGCTCGCAGGAGGCAGAGCTGCCACCTCCCGGACCCAAACCTCACCCGCGTGGCTGATCACCAGATCCGCTCTCTGGAACTCTTCAGCCAAGGACTCCCTGAAGCGGAACACTTCTAGTGTGAACGCCGGCGTGCGAAGCGGGGTGGGCGCCGCCCCTCCACCAACCTGCAGGACGAGTCTGCTGTAGCCCAGGCTCTGCAAGATCTGCAGCGAGACGGGAGCGTTATATCGCCCCAGGCTTTGCATCTCCCGGTCCAGGCCGCACCGGGTGGCAGCGCTGCTTCTCCCCTCACGTGCCCAAGGCCTGAGCTGCGCCCGGGTGAAGGGAACGAGCCCCCAGCACAGGAGCCAGCCTCAGCCCGCACTGGGGGCCAGTGGCTCAAGCAGCCTCTAGGCCTCTGGGACCAGGCGGGAACCGCAGCGCAAGCAGGGGCCACGCGGGAACTGCAACAGACCCCGCTGCCTCCGGGAAGGACACGCCGACCTCACCTGGATAGTCTCTGGGGCGCTCACCACCGCAATCAGCTCCTCGAAACAGGTTGTCCCCACGGTGACAAAGACCGATTTCATGGCCAGCTCCGGGCCGGTAGCAGCCAAGCGGCGTCTCTCCCAGCTGCAAGTCGCCGCTAGGGGCGCCCTCCGTTCAGCAAAGCCGGACCTGGCCTGCCCGGGGAGCAAGGGCCCTGCAGGCGGCAAGTCCCCCTGATAAGGTTGCCAGGTGTCCGGTTTTGAGCCAGACCGTCCAGTATTTGACCTTTCTGTTCAGGAAACAAATTGAGAAAATGTAAATGAGAAAATAGAAATGTTCAGTATTTTCTAAATAAGATGCAATGTAGATTGTGATGCAATGTCAAGTGTAAAATGTAGAAAGCTCCTACTTGGGAGATTGTGCTACTTCCTGATCACTGAGCATGCCCAAACATACTGAGCATGCTCAGCAGTTCTTTTGCAGCCACTCCCCTTCTCTCAGCTGGGACAGGCTGTGCGTTTTTGCTTAGTTCATTTTAAAAGCATTTTGAAAGGGAGAAAAGTGGCTCAACAGAGGAGGTGCCTTCGCAGTGACTTGGCAAGGGGGTAAAGCAGATGCAGGCAGGCTTAGGATCATTTCTGGGGCAAGCTGGTGGGGGGCAGGGCGCCAGCTAAACCCATCATCAATGCAGAGTCCAAAGCCAGGGCATGGTCATAGCTGGAGGGTTAAAAACAGCTTTCAAAGTGGGAATGAGGGACGAGTCCAAGTGTGGTCATGTCACAGTGAAATTTTGATGTGTTTAAATATGTTTTTTGCCATGTATTCACCCTGGAGTCACTGAGCATGCTCAGTAGGGCTGCAGCCGTCTTTCACTTGTCTGCCCACTCACTAAGTTTTTGCTCATTGCTTTTAAAACAGTTTAAAAAGGGGGGGAAAGTGGCTCAACAGAGGAGATGTCTTAATATTGACTTGGCAAGGGGTTGAAGCAGATGCAGGCAATTTTAGGATGGGTTCTGGTGCAAACTCAGCTCTGGTGGTGGGAGGAGCATCACAACACAAAGTGCAAAGCCCCAGCACAGGCACAGCTGGAGGCTAAAAACAGATTTCCCAGTGGGAACAGTGCACAAGTCAAAGTGTGGTCATGGCACAGTGGCTTTTTTTTATTTTCTTAAACACTTTTTTAACCATTTGTTCACCTCAGGCACCGATCATGCTCAGTAGTGCTGCAGACACCCCTGCAGTTTTCCCTGCGCATTCTCTCTATAGGGTTTTGCTTACTGCATTTCAAATTAGTTTCACAAGGTAAAAAGGGTGCTAGAAAACAAGACTTGATGTTTCATCACATTTGTCTTATCTTATGCCTGGGACTCACTGAATTGCGCTCCCATTTTCATTGCATCCCATTTTCATTGTTTTGCTCCTTGCAAATGTAATGTCTTGTACTGTAAGTGCAAAGCACAGTGGCTGCGTCTAGACTGGCAAGTTTTGCGGCAAGTTGCTTTTGCAGAAAAACTTGCCAGCTGTCTACACTGGCCACTTGAATTTGCGCAAGAGCATTGACGATCTAATGTATGATCATCGGTGTTCTTGTGCAATTACAATGACTCTCCCGCTAGGGAAAAAGCCCTCTTGCGCAAATGTTTTTGCGCAAGAGGGCCTGTGTAGACAACTGAGAACCGTTGGCAAAAATGGTGATCGGGGCTTTCTTGCGCAAAACCGCGTCTAGATTGGCACGGACGCTTTTCCGCAAAAATGCTTTTGCGCAAAAGCGTCCGTGCCAGTCTAGACGCTCTTTTCCGCAAATGCTTTTAACGGAAAAACTTTTCCGTTAAAAGCATTTGCGGAATATCATGCCAGTCTAGACACAGCCACTGTGTTTAGTACACCCCACACTTCACACACATTCCCTGTGGCTGTGCCCTCCTCTCTGAATAGTGACCACAGCAGTTCACGGCCCACAGGAGGGGGAAGTGCCTGGTGCAAGGCCATGTGTGGCCAGCCCAGCACGCCCTGTGTCACAGGGCCCTCAAGGTGGCCAGAGGACCGTGCTGCCTACTCCTGTTCCCCTGCAAAGGCACACCACAGCCAGAAGTGAACGGCCACAGTGGATCCCCTCACGGGTGGAAAAGAAGCTGTGAGAAGCCTTCCCCTCTCTGAGGTCTGCACACACAGCTGTGGCTCACTGGGCTATCAAGAGAGCAGCTGCTGCCTCGCACATGGTTCTGTGCTGTGTGCTGCACTCCAGCGTGTGTGTGAGGTGGTGCCTACACCCTTGCGGCTAGCCTTCTGACTATGTGCCCCTTACCACTTGGGCATAGGGCTCGTGTGGCCAGTCTGGCAGCAGTCTCCCAGGCATGTAGAGGTGCTGGCTGGTGTGTCCATGTGCCCCACCCTCCCATTGCACATGATTGCATGTACCTACTCTGCAGCAGCATGTGCAGGCCTAGCAGTCTGCACAACAATGAGCCCCCTGCCCCCTCTGCAGCCACCTCCCTCCCCCGCTCTGTGTGTGTCTGCGTGTGCGTGTGCACATGCGCCAACATACCTGAGGATCCCTCCCAAGCTTCCATGGAGGCCTGAGAGAAGTCCAGGCTGGCAGGAACTGGCTTCAGGGACAGGATGATATTCCCACTGTCCTGTTTGTTCTCCTCCTCCATCGGGGGCTGGGCCTGCCCCTCCGTCTCTTCTGTTTCGGGGACAGGCCATGGGCGCTGGAGGATGTTTTGCTCCAGGCCGCAATGCACCACAATGGAGGGGTAAGAAGGTTCCCCACCAAGGATGTTGAGGAGCTCTTTGTAATATGGGCAGGCATGTGGTCCTGCCCCTGAGCGCCACCTCCACTCCATCGCTCCTACACTGTGTGCTCTGTGTCATAAATTTCATACTGCATAGCCTGCATCCATTGCAGTCACCACATTGATGAGCCAGTTTGCGCTTCTAGCATTCAGCATTTTCCATTTCATGAACCCCGCTATAGGCCAATTAGATGTGCAGCGGGCTCTTCATTATAAAGTTGGACAGGTTTTGAAGCGTCTAGGTATATAATCAGTTTACATCTGTACAGTTTAATTACTGCTTATATCTCTAATATGTGTCCATTGGCAGGGCAAGTTTGTATAATTTTTGGTGGTGCCCAGAATGGATCTAGTCCCCCCCTCACACACACACCCTGACCCTTGTTAAGCATGCACACCTAACCCCCATTAGCCACACTCCCTGACTCCCATTAGCCACGCCTCTGAAGGTAACACTCTCAGGGCAAGATGGACATATGACCAGAAGTAAAAGGTGTCATGTGACCCCCCCTCTAAGGACTTTTCCCACCCTCCTCCTACCAATAGGGATTAGTTTGGCTCCCACCAAACCCCACTCATGCAACTATCCTGCAATTGCATTAACCCAATATGTGTAACATTAACTCAGGGACAGAGAGACTGGGGGAAGTGTTCCCTCTACGGCTATGTCTACACTCGTGGCTTCTTGCGCAAGTACAGCTGCTCTTGCACAAGAACCCACAGAGCAACCACACTGCCCGCCTTCCTTCCTTGCGCAAGGAAATTTACAGTATGGTGTGGTAAGAGAGGGCGTCTTGCGCAAGAGCTACTCTCTTTTCTAACAGGTGTAAGCTCTCTTGCGCAAGATGGCAGTGTGAATGCTCAGCAGGGATTTCTTGCGCAAGAAACCCCTATGGCTAAAATGGCCATCGGAGCTTTCTTGCGCAAGAGAGCGTCTGCACTGCCATGGATGCTTTTGCACAAAAGCACAGCTCGCACATGGCAGTGGGGATGTGTTCTTGCACAAGACTTCTTGCACAAGAACCCTTGCGCAAGATGTTCTTGTGCAAGAAGCCA